AGTACAGCCCAACCCATTTTGAAGCAGCACTCAACACCCAACAACCAACCATTAAACCAATCACATAACGTCAAGCCAACATCACCAAACAACCAACAGGGTTCTCGTACTCACCTCCAGTCCTGCCGCACCTTCGTCTCAATCAATATCACAGTCACCATAAACCACTCAGCAATCACAGGTGCATACTCACAGGACATGCATAATCAACATAAACATGCATTCTACGAAGGGCACTCTAACTGACTACCCCGAAGTCTTCGCTCCTTATCATTCCAGGTCTCGACTTTACCGATATCGAGCTAGCCTTGCTCTGATACCAATTCAACAGGGAATGTCACGCCCCGAATCCCATCGAGCTCGCAACATCCCGCACCGGTTGATTAGTTGCGATGTCCCAGGAACATCGCCGACCCAACCCGAACATCAGAAACACATGCGGAAGCGAATATAAAACCCCTGACTATAAAGACGACGATGGGGTAGATCACCAAGACAATCAACAACAACGACCATTTTTATACAATGCCATTACACCAAGCATACAAACATCATATTACAAACAAACTTAATAGACGAGCATTCACAACTACCGACATAACAAAAGGATCAAGTGGTTGAGGTAACTTAACTTCGCTATAGGTCAACCTATCGAACAAAAGGGTAACTGGTCAGACCTATTCTACACAACCCCTAAAATTCCCTAGGGAAACCTACTGGTCACCCTCCTCCACTCTGCTTCAGCATCCTCTGGATCGAGCCCCCGGAAGATCACCCGGACCAAGATACGGGAAATTGCCTACAGCTCCACTGGGGCACCATGGTCGGCTCCCCAAAACTCCAAAAAGAGGAGGCGGGCCTCCTGGGTTTAAGGCTTGGGGTCTGAAAGTGGTGGTTATACAACCATGAGACGAATCTCAATAAGTGCACAACCCCAAACCCCACATAGGCTCTCACGTATCGCCAGACGAAACACACATAACACACAACGTTCAATCATGCTAACAAACACATACGATCCTACCTGGAATCCATAGTGCACGTCCCTGCACATTAGATAACCATACAGCCAACATTCCATAGTAATGCATCACAACCGCGCGCGTACCTCGATTATAAGGCAAAACCCACTCGAGCACGTCCCATACCATGCCGAGCAGTTTTTTTACCCCATAATCGAGCACTACAATACGCGATACAAGCCACACTCACACACGAACTCACATCACGCGTCAACTTTTGCAACCTTCATACGTCGAACCAATTTCAACTCATTCTCAACTTTTCCACCACTACTGTGCCCGCGTAAAACGCATCAGGCCAACGGTCTTCTGAACTCGTCAGGCATCGTCACCCCGTCGGGCCGGGCATCGTCACCTCGTCAGGGACGGCATCGTCCCGCTTACACGAACACGCCTCAGGACGGATCCTTTCCAACCAATCCTACATTCCCGTACCTTCGTTCCACACTCTCCACACATACCACACGGCCACACATACACACGGTCACGCACAATTTCACATCTCACATACACTTCACAAATACATGTCCTCGTCACACGAACACACCACCCGATCACACATGCCTTACACCAACACACGTGACCATCACACAATCACGCCACACATACTAGGCACACGGCCATATCACATTCAGCACAACATTCAGTCCAAAATCAACCAATAGTCACAAACTACCCAGTCACACATACGAGCCTATTCAAGGCATAATCTTACCCATCAAGCATACTATTCAATCCTACTCGCTCCACTTCATCACAGCCCTTTTTGAGTCCACTAAACCACACATTTTCATCCCGTAATTCAGTCCACAACAACCAAACACTCAGCCTTCATCTCAGCCCCAAAATAGCCATCTAAACTACTGGAATCAAGTCCCAAACGTGTCTAACAATACTCGAGATCCTAGGTAACGTTTGAGGGAGTCACTTACCCTAGAAAGGCGTGACAAACGGGTTGATTGGGTGGCTGGACGGTCGGATCAGAAGCAGCAGCCGAGTAGCAGCAGCAAAGGCGCCGGCAGTCAAACAGACGAGCGGCTGCACCACCGTGGACGGGTGGCGATCGGGCGGCTGAGGATGGTGGTCTGGTCGTATGGACCAGGGGAGGTCAGCTAGGGGTGGCACGGTGCTGGCTGAACAGGACAGGGGAGGCGAACAAGAAGAGAGAGACTGGCGGACGGTGGTGGTGGTGCTAGGCCGAAAAGGAGAAGGAGCGGCGGCGGTGACCAGGCAGGAGGGCGGCGACCAGGCGGCGGCGAGCTAGTGGCCGGCCAAGGTGGCTCACGCACAAGGGAGAGGGGAGAGAGAGAACCGGTTCGGTGGAGGGTGAGGAGAGAGAGTGAGAGAGAGAAAATAAGAGAGAAAGAGAGAGAAAATGATATAAAAAGGGTACCCCAATAATTGTACTCCGGAAATTACCATTATACTCCTCTAACTACCCCTCCGATCCAATGGCCAAGATTTGATTTCATCCCCATCCAACGGCCCACGATTGATCTTATCCAAAAAGTCAAAGGGCGAAGGAGTAATTGACCATAAAGGGAGAGGGGCATTCTTGTCCTCTTATTTTCGGCCATACTGGGTAATTCTCAGTCCCCCGACTTAATCCAGTCCTCAAAATTCGTTCGTAGTCCCAAGGAAAAAATGGTCATTTTTCCTGTCCCGAACCGAAATCCATTTTTTTACAGAAATGGGTAGCCCCATGGTTGGCCATACCAAAAGCGCCATCGACCGCTAAAAATTGTCACTTTCAAAATTCTCGATTCCCGGGCCCGAATTCCAAGAAATGACTAGAATCGAACAATCACGACTTTAGCTTATCTCTTGCTAACGGGTGGCTCATTGGAATTACGTGCTCTCGACCCGTGACCGACACTAAGTCAAATTACGTTTAAGTTTGCTCGAACCAAGGCGACCTCGATTGTCATATAATTGCGAGGGTCTGTCGCTAGTTCCCTTCGGACACGATCAATCAAATAGATCGCTCTCTATTGGCCCAAAACATTCCCTTGTCAATCCTTACCGTCGAAGGTCGAACCAAGGTCGAGTTCTTTGGTCGTGCGAACTCAATCCCTTAGCATCCCAAGAATGCGCGGCTCCTGGTGAGATCTCACTATAAGTGCATTGGCCAAAATATTCATTTCATAAATCCCGAGAAAAGGATCGAGAATTCAGGCTGTGTTCGTTTGTGGAAAAATATTTTTCCAGAAAATATTTTCCGCGTTTTCCGGTGTTCGGGGGCGGAAAATGTTTTCCGTGGGAAAATATTTTCCTTCCCCACCCCAAAATCCTTCATTATTTTGAGGAAAATGATTTCCTTTTTTCACAAAGAGGAAATCAATTTCCTCCAAATTAAAGGCAAAATTGCCCATGGAAGGGAAAATATTTTCCGTGGGAGAGGAAGTTGATCGCCGGTCACCATCGTTGGCCGCCGGTCGCAGCCGCCCGCCGCCGCCGCCGCCGCCGCCGGCCGCCCGCGCCGCCGCGCCGCTGCGCCGCGGCGGCCTGCCTCGGCCGGCTGCCGCCCGCGGCTGGCCCGCCGCCGGCGCTGGTGGCCACGCCGCCGGCCGCTGCCGCTGCTGGCCGCTGCTGCCACTGGCCGCTGCGCCGGCCGCCGGTCTGGCGCCGCTGGTCGCCGCCGATCGCCGGCCGCCTTCGCCGCTTCCGGTCACCGGTGAAAAATATTTTCCGAAACTTTTTTCATATTGGTCGCCAAACACCGGAAAATTATGTTCCGGGAAAACATTTTCCAGGAAAATGACTTCCGGGAAAATATTTTCCAAAAGGAGAATATTTTCCGCCAAACGAACGGAGCCTCAGAGTGTTACAATTCTTCCCCCCTAATAAAAATTTCGTCCTCGAAATTTACAACTATACTCAGCCATCCAACAAATGGGGGTGATGACGTTTCTTTCTTCCTTTCTCCCACTTTATTCCACCGATAATGCTACCGCAATTTCTGGTACATTTTCGTGCTGCCCGGTGAATACTATAACTGCACCTAAGAGCTTCTAATGAGATCTCCTCTTAAGCTCCATATCATCGGGCATGCACAATCGTCCTTGAAGTTTCAGAATTCCATCCTCTAGCCACATTTCTTCCGCCGTCAAATCGATCACACTTGCTAAGTAACCATGACACCTCTCATCAACAATTTGGTTACTTCTACTGATGAAACTTAAGGGACCGAGGTTCCTTCTCGACTCCCTACAAATTCAAATCTAGGGTGTCTAGTCGGACTAAACTGAATCACCCCAATGCTGCAATCCATTACAGCATTCTGTTCGACTAACCAATTCATGCCCACAATCGTATCAAAATCATACATACTCAAACAGCCAAATCTATCCAGCTTCGTACACCACCAATCACAATTTTACAATCTAAGCACCCTAACAACACGCATATTTTATTCCACAATGGTGTAGTCACACACTTGTACTTCTAAAAACGGTTTCAATCCAGCCAATTTAACAAATCAAGCAGACATAAACGAGTGCAACGCCCCCGGATCAATAAAACATATGCCACATAATTATACAGGGAAACCATACCTGTACTTTCGCCTGGCGTATTCTCAATTCCCTTTCGCGTCAGGGCGTACACACGTCCTTGTGCCGGTGGCTTGTTCGAATTAACCGGCGGGGCTGCACCAGTCGGATTCCCAATCCGAGGTGTCTGCGATGATGGGGGTGGTCGAACCTGAAGATTCGGGCAATTCCTGATGTGATGTCCCATTCCACCACACCCAAAGCATGCCCCAGTCATACTTGGACATGGACCACTCCCATGATGTCTCCCACAGCGTCTACAGGCTGAATTAGACGGATGTGCCGATTTCCCAATATTCCTTCTTGCCGGAGGGACAAAACGTCAGTTTTCCATCATCTGCCTTTTCTCTTGATGACGATCATCCCTCGCTGAATTATACTGTGATCCAGACGCAGCAGCTCTATCCGTCATATCCTGCTCAATAGCTTAGGCCCTCTCATATAATTCCTCATAAGTCCTCAAATTTATCGGTATCAGTTGACTACGAATATCAGCCATCAGTCCATCCCGAAACCTTTGCGCCCTATCCTCAGGATGTTCTACCATTCTCGGCGCAAATTTAGACAGCCTGGCAAATTCTGCCTCATATTGATCCACGGTCATTTGGTTCTGCTGCAACCTAAGAAAAGCTGTCATCTTTCTTTCTCGGGCACTTACCGAGAAATACTTCTCATTAAAAGCCTGAACAAAGGCCGTCCAATTCTGATCCACACATGCTGGGAACACTCGGCCTTGCGTGGCTTTCCACCAGTCGCTCGCATTACCCTGAAGCTGGTACACTGCCAGGGTCACTTTCTCCGCTTCAGTACACCCCAATAACGCGAAAGCTTTTTCTAATTCCTCAACCCATTTAGAAGCAGCTTCCGGATCCCCTACTCCTTCAAATTTAGGTGGTTTCAATTTCAGAAATTGTTCTACTATCTGATGCATCTATCGGTTCCCATTCCCTTTACCAGCATTCTCATTAACTACAGCGGCTGCAGCATAAGCAGCTTGGGCGGTCGCATTAACTCGCTCTTGAGCTTGCCTATCCAATATATTCCCAATCCTCTCTAACACCCTAAGAACTCCTTCCATACGCGGATCTTCCGCGATCGGGGTCTGAGAATTCGACGAGCCTCCTGCTCCTGCACCTCTCCTATTCATTCTCACGAGCTCACGCTATCCTCATACATGCTATAATTCCATACGGGAATTAGGAACCTAGGCCAATTCTACGAGTCCAAGCTCTAGGCATAAAACTCGACAACCAACACTCAACACCCAACAACCAACCATTAAACCAATCACATAACGTCAAGCCAACATCACCAAACAACCAACAGGGTTCTCGTACTCACCTCCAGTCCTGCCGCACCTTCGTCTCAATCAATATCACAATCACCATAAACCACTCAGCAATCACAGGCGCATACTCACAGGACATGCATAATCAACATAAACATGCATTCTACGAAGGGCTCTGTAACTGACAACCCCGAAGTCTTCGCTCCTTATCACTCCAGGTCTCGACTTTACCGATATCGAGCTAGCCTTGCTCTGATACCAATTCAACAGGGGATGTCACGCCCCGAACCCCATCGAGGTCGCGACATCCCGCACCGGTTGATTAGTTGCGACGTCCCAGGAACATCGCCGACCCAACCCGAACATCAGAAACACATGCGGAAGCGAATATAAAACCCCTGACTATAAAGACGACGATGGGGTAGATCACCAAGACAATCAACAACAACGACCATTTTTATACAATGCCATTACACCAAGCATACAAACATCATATTACAAACAAACTTAATAGACAAGCATTCACAACTACCGACATAACAAAAGGATCAAGTGGTTGAGGTAACTTAACTTCGCTATAGGTCGACCTATCGAACAAAAGGGTAACTGGTCAGACCTATTCTACACAACCCCTAAAATACCCTAGGGAAACCTACTGGTCACCCTCCTCCACTCTGCTTCAGCATCCTCTGGCTCGAGCCCCCAAAAGATCACCTGGACCAAGATACGGGAAATCGCCTGCAGCTCCACTGGGGCACCATGGTCGGCTCCCCAAAACTCCAAAAAGAGGAGGCGGGCCTCCTGGGTTTAAGGCTGGGGGTCTGAAAGTGGTGGTTATACAACCATGAGACGAATCTTAATAAGTGCACAACCCCAAACCCCACATAGGCTCTCACGTATCGCCAGACGAAACACACATAACACACAACGTTCAATCATGCTAACAAACATATACGATCCTACCTGGAATCCATCATGCACGTCCCTGCACATTAGATAACCATATAGCCAACATTCCATAGTAATGTATCACAACCGCGCGCGTACCTCGATTATAAGGCAAAACCCACTCGAGCACGTCCCATACCATGCCGAACAGTTTTTTTACCCCATAATCGAGCACTACAATACGCGATACAAGCCACACTCACACACGAACTCACATCACGCGTCAACTTTTGCAACCTTCACACGTCGAATCAATTTCAACTCATTCTCAACTTTTCCACCACTACTGCGCCCGCGTAAAATGCATCAAGCCAACGGTCTTCTGAACTCGTCAGGCATCGTCACCCCGTCGGGCCGGGCATCGTCACCTCGTCAGGGACGGCATCGTCCCGCGTACACGAACACGCCTCAGGACGGATCCTTTCCAACCAATGCTACATTCCCGTACCTTCGTTCCACACTCTCCACACGTACCACACGGCCACACATACACACGGTCAAGCACAATTTCACATCTCACATACACTGCACAAATACACGTCCTCGTCACACGAACACGCCACCCGATCACACATGCCTTACACCAACACACAGGACCATCACACAATCACACCACACATACTAGGCACACGGCCATATCACATTCAGCACAACATTCAGTCCAAAATCAACCAATAGTCACAAACTACCCAGTCACACATACGAGCCTATTCAAGGCATAATCTTACCCATCAAGCATACTATACAATCCTACTCGCTCCACATCATCACAGCCCTTTTTAAGTCCGCTAAACCACACATTTTCATCCCGTAATTTAGTCCACAACAACCAAACACTCAGTCTTCATCTCAGCCCCAAAACAGCCACCTAAACTACTCGAATCAAGTCCCAAACGTGTCTAACAATACCCGAGGTCCTAGGTAACATTTTGGGGAGTCACTTACCCTAGAAATGCGTGACAAACGGGCTGATTGGGTGGCTGGAATGGCCGGATCAGAAGCAGCAGTCGAGCAGCAGCAGCAACGGCGCCGGCGGTCAAACAGGCGAGCGGCTGCACCACCGTGGACGGGTGGCTGGGGGGCGGCGATCGGGCGACTGAGGGTGGCGGTCTGGTCGTATGGACCAGGGGAGGTCAGCCAGGGGTGGCTCGATGCTGGCTGAACAGGACAGGGGAGGCGAACAAGAAGAGAGAGACTGGCGGACGGTGGTGGTGCTCGGTAGGAAAGGAGAAGGAGCGATGGAGGTGACCGGCGGGAGGGCGGCGACCAGGCGGCGGCGAGCTGGTGGCCGGCCAAGGTGGCTCACGCACAAGGGAGAGGGAAGAGAGAGAGCCGGTTCGGTGGAGGGTGAGGAGAGAGAGAAAATGAGAGAGAAAAAGAGAGAAAATGATATAAAAAGGGTACCCCAATAATTGTACTCCGGAAATTACCATTATACCCCTCTAACTACCCCTCCGATCCAATGGCCAAGATTTGATCTCATCCCCATCCAACGGCCCACGATTGATCTTATCCAAAAAGTGAAAGGGCAAAGGAGTAATTGACCATAAAGGGAGAGGGGCATTCTTGTCCTCTTATTTTCGGCCATATTGGGTAATTCTCAGTCATACTGGCCATGCCTCGGACATTTGATGTAATTCATTGGGAGGAGCATTGATTTTGTCTCCATAAACTTGACATTGATGGCAACATCTAACATGTTGAATACAATTGGCTTCCATGGTTAACAAGTAGTAACCTAGCCTCATAATCTTCCTTGGTAGAAGATGGTCGTTCATATGAAGACCACATTCTCCTTTATGTATCTCCTTTATTAATAAAGTGGCCTCTTTGGTGTCTATCCACTTCAGTAGGACAAAATCAAAAGATCTTTTGTATAAAGCACCTCCGCTGAGGAAGAATTTGGAAGCTAACTTAGTCAAGTATTTCCGATCAGTAGCTTAACTTCTTTGGTGAAATTTTCCTCCTCGATTCATAGTGTCATAGTACCATGATTGACCATCGAGCTCTTCTTCAATAACCATGCGATACGCAGGCTCTTTTAAAATATTGATTTATAAAGGATCGATATTCAAATCATCAGTTACCGCTCCACATCATCACAGCCCTTTTTAAGTTCACTAAACCACACATTTTCATCCCGTAATTTAGTCCACAACAACCAAACACTCAGTCTTCATCTCAGCCCCAAAACAGCCACCTAAACTACTCGAATCAAGTCCCAAACGTGTCTAACAATACCCGAGGTCCTAGGTAACGTTTGGGGGAGTCACTTACCCTAGAAATGCGTGACAAACGGGATGATTGGGTGGCTGGAACGGAAAACGTAATATTGTATAGACACCAAAGAGATGAAGAACTGTCTCTAAAAAGAAATTATCCATGGAAAGGGACGAATAACTGGAAAAACTGATTATCCATGGTCTTACAATATTATTGGTTTTTTGGATGATTTGCCTACTCAAAGTCTCTTGCAAAGGGACGAATAACTGGAAAAACGGCCTTCCAACATTATTACTCCTATTTTCGAGAAGCTTTGTGATTTCCGTTGCATTTCTCTCGAAAAGCTTCACGAAATCAAATAACGAATCTCCCACAAAAGTCATCGGAGCGATCAGTTAGGTTTGTCGGAACATTTGCCTACTCAAAGTCCCTCGCAAAGGGATGAAGAACTGGAAAACGGGTCTTCCAACATTATGACTCTTATTTTCGGGAAGGTTTGTAATTTCATTGCCATTTCGCAAGAAAAATTGTGCGGAATGAAATAAAAAATCGCTCAAAATTGTTGCCGGAGCGATGAGTTAGGTTTGCTGGAAGGTTTACCTACTCAAAGTCTCTTGCAAAGGGACGAATAACTGAAAAAATTGTCTTACAATATTATTCGTCCTATTTTCGAGGAGGATTGTGAATTCTATTGCATTTCTCTCTAAAAGCTATGCGAAATCGACTAAAGAATCGCCCATAGAAGTCGTCACATCGATCACTTAGGGTTGTCGGAACATTTGACTACCCAAAATTCCTTGCAAGAGAACATAAATTGGAAAAAGGGTCATCCAACATTATTACTCCTATTTTCGGGAAGGTTTGTAATTTCATTGGCATTTTGCTGGATAAACTATGCGGAATGAAATCAAGAATCGCCAAAAATAGTTGCCGGAGCGATGAGTTAGGTTTTTTGGATGATTTGCCTACTCAAAGTCTCTTGCAAAGGGACGAATAACTGGAAAAACGTCCTTCCAACATTATTACTCCTATTTTCGAGAAGGTTAGTGATTTCCGTTGCATTTCTCTCGAAAAGCTTCACGAAATCAAATAACGAATCTCCCACAAAAGTCATCGGAGCGATCAGTTAGGTTTGTCGGAACATTTGCCTACTCAAAGTCCCTCGCAAAGGGATGAAGAACTGGAAAACGGGTCTTCCAACATTATGACTCTTATTTTCGGGAAGGTTTGTAATTTCATTGCCATTTCGCAAGAAAAACTGTGCGGAATGAAATCAAAAATCGCTCAAAATTGTTGCCGGAGCGATGAGTTAGGTTTGTTGGAAGGTTTGCCTACTCAAAGTCTCTTGCAAAGGGACGAATAACTGGAAAAATGGTCTTACAATATTATTAGTCCTATTTTCGAGATGGTTTGTGATTTCTATTGCATTTCTCTCGAAAAGCTATGCGAAATCGACTAAAGAATCGCCCATAGAAGTCGTCACATCGATCAGTTAGGGTTGTCGGAACATTTGACTACCCAAAATTCCTTGCGAGAGAACATAAATTGGAAAAAGGGTCATCCAACATTATTACTCCTATTTTCGGGAAGGTTTGTAATTTCATTGGCATTTTGCTGCATAAACTATGCGGAATGAAATCAAGAATCGCCAAAAATAGTTGCCGGAGCGATGAGTTAGGTTTTTTGGA